GCTTCTCTCTCACTTACCAACTTCACATTTCCCTGTATGGCCCCGTAAGATGACTGGTTAGCCAGAGACGGGTAAGATTCCTCAAGGGAGGAAGAACCTAAGACAGTCACAGTCGCAGGGGGGCCGTCAGGAGAGAAACTGGGGATCAACAGAGGGGAGGCTTAGAACCTCACCCCCACTGTTTTGAGAGAAATCTTCTGTATCCGTGGATGTTTTGCTGCCCTTGTCTAGCTTGAATTAATACTTAGTGTATAGGCACAGGCACAGACCTGATCATCTACATTTGCCCTCTTTCAGCACTAAACTATGTTTTCTACCTTTATCTTGCATCTACCTACCACTTCAGCATTTTATTAAAAAAATAATAATAATAATAATAAGGGAGAAATGTGGGATTCACATATAAACCAAGTATAAAAATCAAACGAATAATCATAAAAAAAATTAGATGAAAAATTATATTATAAAACTTTATATTTAATATTTTGTACATTATGATTAAGAAACATATTCTTAAGTGACCATTTTACATTTAAATAAATGTTTGTGAACAAATTTCTCTTCTGGATAAGAGAGTTTTGAATCTTTTTGGTTTCTCCAAAGGCAAGGAAAACAAAACAATGCTAAAATGTCTAAATTGTCTATCTTATCTAAAAGACTACCTTTACTCTCTGGGCCTAGGGCAAAGAAAACAAAAAATAATTCTCCTTTTCAGCAAGTGTATCAAGACAAGTTGATAAGGATTGGTGGGGTCATTTTTTACTGCCTTGGATAACAATGTTTTGTAAGTCTTGCATTCTCAGATAACTATCAACTATCTTAAAAGTATTCTTGTTTAAGGCAGTGAGAAGACAATAGAAAAAATGTTGCTGGAGGCCTTTACTCTCAAGATTAACCTCTTTGACCTCTTTTGAGATTTTAGGAGCTCCAAGTTTATCTTTGTTGTTTCAAAACTAGTGGCAGTTTTAAGGGAAATGAAAAAGCAAAAACCAAAACAAACCTGAAAACAAATGCACTCATTGTCTCTGCACCCTGTGACTTAACTATATACAGTACAAAATATACATGCCCAAGCGACTTAAGAACGAATGAGTGAATGGTTACAGACATTATGATGCACCAACTTTGCTCCAGGCAATGACTTGCACTAGGCTGGTGTTTGTCAAGCTTTGTTTTGACTCATTAAAGAATGGTGAAATAAATTTTGTGTCTCTACCAGCATTAAAAGACAAAAAAAACTGTGTAGAAAATATCAAGAGTGCCTTATACAATGGCTAATAATTCTTTCCTGAAACTTTCTAGCTTTCTAGCTGTTAACCTGTTAATATTTATCTGGACATGCTATGGAGTGTATTTCTTAATGTGGGTTGCTGGCAAGAAGGTGTGAATGCAACCATACGAACAATGCTCTTGGACAGCAGGGGTTACCCTTTCTGCCATAGAGTTTACATTATGGTGGCCTTTGTAAGCAGACCAAAACTAAATCTATAGATGCCCTAAATTTACAAAATCAAAATACTAAGGACAACCAACAGACAGTCAACTGGCTTCAAACTACAGCCAATCAACTAATTTCCTTTCTCTGCTTCTGCACTTTCTCTGTATAAATCCTTCTCTGGTCTTCTGTCCTCAGAGTGCTTCTAACCACTTTCAGTTTGGTGCTGATTGATTGGAATCAATTTTTGCTGAAATAAACTCAAAGATTTTAATATGCCTCAGTTTTTCTTTTAACAGAAAACACAAGGGAAAATTCACTTCCCTCGGTATTGTGGACGCCAAGTGAATGTATTAAGAACAACTTTCTGAAGAGGGTCAAGTATTCCAGAGAATAAAGAACTGAATAGTGTCCACAGGGTGTCCAGAGGGCTTGGATAAACATGAGCAGAGCAGCTACAGGGAAAGCTGTTCAGGGGAGGGAACTCTAGAAGGGCCACAGGTTGAAGGGTGAGACCAGAAAAGGAAGGCACACATACTGAGAAATCAGCACTGCATGACAGGCGACAGATGAAGTGGCAGTGAAGCTTCCCCACAGGCTGCCTCTGTACGGTTGAAACAGACTCTGGGCCATTATGACCTTGTCTTGCATCTGCCACTCTTTTGTGATCATAACTGAAAAGTTACTCCATTTCTTCAAAGCTTGTAAACCCCACAATGATCATAAGTGGCCTGAAAATTATTTCCCACTATATCAAAATATCTCCAGAATCAAAATCTGGGGGACCATAGCTTCCATCTCAGTCTTATTTTCTATCATTGACAACTGTGTTAACATAATCTTTACTTTGGACCAGTGCCTACCAAATATGCCCGGTTTATGTTTATGTTTTTGTTTTTTTTCAATTGTGATATATATAACATGATCATTTTAATCATTTTAAAATGCACAGTTCACAATGTTGTACAATCATTACCACTATCTGTATCCAAAATGTATTCATCATCCAAAATTGAAACTCTATAACCATTAAGCAATTACTCCCTATCTCTCCCCAGCTCCCGATAACCTCTACTGTACTTTCTGTCTTTAGGAATTTCCCTATTCATATAAATAAAATCATGCAACATTTATCATTTTTTGGCTGTCTTAGTTCACTTAGCTTAATATTTTCAAGGGTCATCCATGTTATAGCTTGTGGCAGAACTTCATTCCTACATATGGATGAATAATATTCCATTGCACTCACATACCCATTTTGTTTACCTATTCATCTGTTGATGGACACTTGGATTTTTTCCCTTTTGGCTCTTGTGAATAATGCTGTATGAACACTGGCCTGCAAGCATCCTTTTCAGTATCTGTTTTCCATTCTTTTGGTTAGGAGTGAAATTGCTGGGTCAAACAGTAATGCCATTGTTAGATTTTTGAAGAACCATGTCAGTGCATTTTCATGCTGATTCCTGTAACTCCTCACCCAGTGCTATCTGAATATTTTCATTGAGTTTGGTAAGTAACAAGACTGCCTTTTCTTGCCCTCATGTCTGCCCTGGATAAGCTTCTCCAGAACTGCTGACCTTACTCTGATGTATGCAAGTACTCTACTGCCACATGTATGGTCTGCCTCTCCCTGCTGTAGACTTCACATATCTACATATTTACTGGATGGAATATCTTCGCACTGGGATGCAGAACCAAATAAACAACAAATACTCAAGCTCAAGAAAGCAAGCATCTGTAGGGTTTTTATTAAGAATGATTCAAGCCTCTGTAATGTCTTTGTTTTACTAAGATACTCTTTGATCAGGAGATGGAGGGTAAAGGTTTTTTACCTGTTCTGTTTCCCTGATTTGAACGTCTTGCCTGGAGAGATCATAGCGGCTGCTCAGTAGGTATTTGTTCAATGAGTGAATAATCGATCATCCTGGCCCATTATTGTTAAGCCTAGATAACAAAAAGGGAGCTTTTTATTCTGTGATCACTGGCACTTTGGCCACAAAGGTCGTTCTCTTCATTGACGATTTAATCGACTGGGATTCATATGGACTCCAAAGTAAGGTCTAGCTAGTGATGCAGCTTTAGAGCACTTGACCTCAAGCTGTATGTATTTTTTAACTGAAGTATAAGTGACATACACTATATTATTTTCAGGTGTACAGCATAATGATATGATATTTATACATAGGGCCAAATGATCAAGCTATATATTTCAACCAATTTTCCCCAAATTCGTAAGTTCAATATTGGTATTCTTCCTAACCAGAAATTTATCTACATCCTTGCAAAACCTTTGACTTCCACATTAATGGGCTTCCATTGGCTGAATAGAAGATAAAAGTGGTAAGAATACATATCCTATGGGATTATGATTATGTATTACATATATCAGGGTACCAGAGACTAGAAAACCACATACATTGGACGTGTGATCCTGTCTTCAGGAAAGGTCATTAGTGTGGGTGCTCTTCCGTATTCTCTCCTGTCTCCTGTGGGTCTGTAACATTTGGCTTCTTAGAAGGTCACCTCAGAGTGGCACATGAACTTAGGTATTAGAGAACACCTGAAGTATGGCTTTTAAGGGGGTTTTGCTTGCATTCTTGTAACCCACTTAACCAAAGCCATAATGTTCCTGTACCATTAATATGGTTTTCTAATACGGTCTCAGATCAGTGTTTCTGCCCTAACAGGATATAAGATGTGTTCATTTCCTATTGCTGCTGTAACAATTACCACAAGGTTGGTAATAACTTAACTATCTTACAGTTCTGGAGATCAGAAGTCCAAAATGTGCCTCCCCACGATAAAATCATTTAGGCAACGTTTCTTCGGGATCCTCTAGAAGAGACTCTGTTTCCCCACCTTTTCCTGCTGACAGTTTATCTTCATCCCTTGGCTCTGTGGCCCCTCCATCACCCTTAGAGTTTCTCCCTCTGCTTCTGTTGTCACATAGCCTTTTCTCCCTCTGACCCTCCAGATTCCCTTGTATAAAAACCTTTGTTATTACTGGATTATCCAGGATAAACTCCTAATGTCACAATTCTTACCTTAATCTCATCTGCAGTCTCTTTGCCGCCTAAGGTAACATATTCACAGGTGCCAGAGCACCGGACATCCCCTGAGTGCCAGTATTCAGCCTGCCACATAACACTTCAGAAAACCCTCATGTTCTGCAAAATTACACATGTGCTTAAACACCCGCACAGATAGTCGTTGTGAGAAATATGGGGCTATGGGGCAAAAGCACTCAAAAGTCTGTGAAACTCCAGTAACAATTCTAATATAAACATACTAGCACTGTTAGAAAGATATTCAAAACTCTTAATAAAGATGAAGTTGCTTGATGGAAAGGAATGTAGAGAGGTCTGGGGCTGCTGACTTTTTATAGAGAACAAAATGCAAGGTCCAACTACCAAAGCTGGACTCTGGAGGGAACAGAATGTAGTTTTTAGAACAGCTTAGATTTACAGAAAAACTAAGATAACACAGAGTTCCTGCATGCCCCACAACCAGTTTCTCCTACTATTATCTTACATTAGTATGTTTATTAACATGAATAAACCAATATTCATATAATTAAATGAGTTTATTTAGATTCCCTTAGTGTTTAGTTACTGACCTTCTGCTCCAGGATCCCATGGAGGATCCCACACTCTATCTAGCTGTCATGTCCCCTTTAGCTTTTCTGGCTGTGGCAATTCCTCAGACTTCTTGTGTTTGATGACCTCAACATTTTGAGAAATCCTGGTGAATATTTTGTAGGATGCCACACAACTGGGATTTTTCTTACGTTTTTCCCACAGTAAGACCAGGGTTATAGGCTATTGAAAGGAAAATCACAGAACTAAAGTTCCATTTTCATCAGACCATACCAAGGTCACGTACCATCAGCATGACTTATCACTATTGGTGTTCTGGCCTTGATCACCCAGATTAGGTAGTGTTTGTAGGTTTCTCCACTGTAAAGTTATTCTTTTTTCCAACTTTCCATACTGTACATTTTGAAATGAAGTCACTATGTGCAACCCACATCTAAGGAGTGGGGAGTTATGTTCATCCCACTTAAGGAAGGAGTATATACAAAAATTATTTGGAATTCTTCTGCATGGGAGATTTGTCTCTTCTCTACTTACTAATTAACCAATCATTTATTTGTATCTATATGGACTCATGGATATAATTTTATACTTTCAGTCCAATACTACTTTATTTTTTTGATCAGATTGTTCCACCTCTTTCAGTCGGTTCTTGTATTCCTTGTGCCTATCCCTGTCAATGTGTATATTGTGGGTATTAGTTTAACACTTCCTTACTTTGTGACACTATCTTGTGTACTTCCTGTCTCAGTCCTAAGAAATAATCATTTCCCCAAGGAGCCTTGGTTCATTTTACTGAAGAATTAAACCAAGATCCAGGCATAAGGCATGCTCATTACTACTATTGTGTCATTTTTTTAGGCCATCTCAGCTGACAGAGCAAAAAATATGTTTATACTAATGTGTGAATATATACATACATTTTTTAATTGGGTTTTTATATGTCTTTGTAGTCTTGCATTACATACCTAGGAAGTTCTCAAGGGGTGAAAGATCAGGGGAAAAACAATACTTGGTCCCTGGATTTGCTTTCTAAAACAGACAGAAGCAGACTGTCAATTGAACAATTTGTTCAGGGGCATATGGATGGCACTGCTCTCATCTCTGACCACGTATTTTTAACTGACTTAGAGTCCTCATAAGTTAATACTTCCAATTATTATGCAATGCCATATCCCCAAGTTCTATTTTCACTTCCCTCGTCCAAACAATCTTTCATTTCAAATCGTTAATATTTCATCTCAATTTAGTGACATTAGAATTCTTCAACGCTTGCATTCCATGAAACCTAGTGCTTCCTCCTGGTGCCAATAAATAAAATGGAATAAGAGGTCACTGAAATCAGAAAGGCATTCAAAGTACAGATGACCCTTGAACAATGTGGGGGTTATAGGCACAGACACCCCCTCTCAACCACAGTCGAAAATCCAAATTTAACTTTCGACTCCCCCAAAACTTAACTGCAATAGCCTACTGCTGGAAGTCTTACCAGTAACATAAACGGTCGACTAACAGACATTTTGTACATTATATGGAATATATACTAAGTCTTACAGTAAAGTAAGCTAGTGAAAAGAAAATGTTTTTCAAATTGTCAAAAATCTCCCGCAATTTTCCAATATATTTATTGAAAAAAATCCACGTATAAGTGGACCTGTGCGGTTCAAACCTCCAGTGTTCAAAGGTGAACCATACACTGCTAGCTGATAAAATGGGGGTATGGGAGGAAAGAGAGAGAGAGAGCTGGAGGGAAAAAGACACCTGGGATCATGGGAACCGGCCTATGGGAAGTTAGGAAGCAGTGGTGTCTCACCTTCCTGCCCTGTTCTCCTGGTAGAGGGGATGGGGTTGGTACCAGAGCTGAGGCCCTCCACCTGCATTTCAAGAGGCTGGTGAATGAAGACAAAAATTATTTAGGGTGGGCTGCACACCCACCGCCAAGGTCCCCTGGCCCTCTCCAATCAGACACCCTCTCCAAGGAGTGAACCGTGGACTGGAGTTCCTCCGAGGCAGTCAAAGGGAACACAACAACCCTTTGCCTGAGTCCCTTTCTCTAGATTTCCAGAGCTGAAATTCCAAGTTCCACTTCGGCCAGACCGTGTCCCACCAACATTACTTACTTATTTATAACCTTATAAATTAAGAAAACAAATCTGTCTTGAGATCTTGTCCTTAAGCAAACCTGAGAGTGCTGACACTATTTGCTACTCACCCCTGATAGCCCAGGTGACTAGGGAACCGGTTCCTTCGTGGTCCCAGCTCCACCCACACCCTCCCACCCAGACCTGCCTGCACGCTCCTTTAGAGGCCTGTCCTCTTGGGAGGCCACCACGCAATGGCTTCCACGAAGCAACTGAACAACTGACAAGACGCAGGATTCCGCGTCACTGCGGAACTTCCGGCGCTCGGGTGAGTCCCGGGCCAGGGAGGCGACCGAAGGTGGCGGCGGAAGGGAGGCGCAGCGACCGAGGCCCGCGCAGGCGCCCCCCAGCGCCGGGGCCTCGTCTGCGGGAACCGGGCGGAGGCCTGGGCGCCGGGACGCACGGGAGGCGGGACGCACGGGGGGCGGGGCCTCGCGCGGAGGCCCCCAGGACCCCAGACCCACCCGCCCGACCCGGGCGTCCTGCGGGAAGCGCCGGGGGCTCACCGGCTGCGCGACTGCGGGGGTTTCCACGCGCAGGAGCCCCCCGCCCCCCTGCGACCCCTCTCTCCACGGCCTCCCCCCGCCCACCCGGGACCCTGGGGCAGTCCTGTGTGTCTTCCGTCCGCTCCAAAATGCGTGCCACCGGAGGACGACGCTTTTGTTTCCCCGAGGCTTCCTCCGCCCGACCTGAAACCAGCCAGGGGCAGTGGCCCCTCCATTCCCGGGCCTAAACCTGAGCTTTACCTGGAGGGAAGAGGCGGGCTCAACAGAGCAGAGAGAGAGAGAGGAGCGGAGATTCTGCCCCCGTCTCCCAGCCTGAGGCGGATCAGAATCGGAAAGTTAGACTTTACCTGTTACCCCTCCTCCAGCCCTGGGCGGATGGGCCATTTCACTGCTCGTATCCATCCCTGCAGGGCAACTTCGGTTAGGAAGTCCAAGATGTCACACACCAGTGAGAAATTAAGAGGTCTTATTTAATTGAAGTCGTAATCTTACGTGTAGTTCTTCCCTTTCTCCCATCCCCATTTATTTTTTTTTATTTAATTTTTTACTAAGGTATTACTAATAGACACTCCTGAAGGCAAATTCTGGTGCGCTAAGACCCCTACCCCTTAAGATCCAATCACCAACGCAGAACACACCCTACTCCTTAAAAACGCACTTCCTCACCCACAAGCTGCTGCTCCCTCTCTCTGGAGGCAGCTATTTTCTCTTTCAGATAATAAAATCTCTTGCATGGGCCCGTGTCTCCTGAGTTGTTCTGGGTAAGGAGGGTCACACGGGATACCCTTTCATTGGTGCCGTGACTTCGGATGAGGTTCTCCCACTGACCTTGCTCTTCCTCTGGGAACCTGAGCTGCTCTGGGAACCCTCACTGCCCGATCCTCCTCCACAGGCTGACTGTCCATTTCCCCAGTGGCTCGTCTTCTCGCCCAACACTGGCCTTCGATTTGGTGAGTCTCCCCTTCATGGTCGACTTAAATGTCCCTTTGGAACCTGGGAAGTGACCGTTGAGTGTCCGGCACCCTCAAGGGCTCCTCCAGGACAGGGGCACCCCCAACCACAACTTTCAGAGTCATGGTTGATCCCCATAGTCAACCCTTCTCTGCCTCCCCATGGTGAGAATCCTCATTCACTGAGGCCGGGTCTCCCTTTATCTACTCATAAACTCCTGGTACCAGGTACTGATCCTCCTTGGCATTTTCGCCTCAACCGCTCGGTTACAGGTGGTGACGACCTCCTAACTGTGCCTGGTCTTCTCTGTGACCATCTCAAGCACTCTGGGATGCCTCAGCGACTTGTGAATGGTCTCATTCTCACCATGGGATCTGGCCCCTCCATTCCCACAGATTCACCACTGGGGTGATTACACAATAATCTAAAACCCTCCACCTCACTCCAGACCTCAAACCTTTTAAGCTTATTCGCTACTGTAATGAGATCTGGTCACAATATTCTCTAGATAATCAGTCCAAGTGGCCACCCAATGGCTCTTTAGATCCTAATATTCTCCGAGATTTATATAACTTCTGTGAGCGCACGGGCAAGTGTAAAGAGATTCCTTATATCCAGGCTTTCTCCTACCTCCGAACCAAATCTTCTCTCTGTCTCCCTTGCAATCCTAAACATCTCCTTGCTCTAAAAAACTTCATCCCACCACCCACCAATCCCCACCATGTCCTCTAACTTTGACCCTGCTGGTGAACCTCCTCCCTACTGATCTCAAACCCCTACAGCTCCCCCTCAACCACCAGTTCCTCTCCTGCCCCAACCTCCTTTCTTCTCTGCAAGATCAAATCCCAACCCTCCCAGCTCCCCTAGTGCCGTTGCAGGAGCCACAGCACCTCCTCCTCCACAACCAGTTCCCCTTCCCTCACCCAGTCCTGCGCCAAGCCCTCCAGTCACTTGCTCTCGAACCCAGATCCTAGCCCCACTACAGGAAGTAGCCGGTACAGAGGGCGTCATCCGGTTCCATGGCCCTTTCTCTCTCTCTGACCTATCTCAAATTGAGAAAAGATTAGGCTCTTTCACCAGCTACTTACATAAAAGAGTTCCAGGACCTAACTCAGTCATATAATCTTACCTTTCATGATATTCACATGATCCTATCCAACACACTTTTGCCCGAGGAGCATAGGCGAGTCTGGGAACAGGCTAGAACTCATGCCGATGAGGTTCACCAAACTACTCCAGCTCATCCAATTGGTGCTGAGGCGGTTCCTGACCGAGACCCTAACTGGGACTATAATATGGCAGAGGGAGTCACCAGTCGAGATCAATTCATCACCTGCCTCTTGGTGGGCCTCAGGAAGTTAGCCAATAAAGCCATTAACTATGAAAAACTCCAAGAGGTAATTCAGGATAAAAATGAGAATCCCTCTATGTTCCTAGACCGCCTCACCAAAGCTCTTTTACAATATACAAACCTAGACCCTGAGACCCCAGATGGGAGACAATTATTAATGACCTACTTCTTCACCCAGAGTTTCCCTGACATTAAGACTAAACTTAAACATCTGGAGAAGGGACCCTTAACTCCTCAGGCAGAAGTCCTGGCAGTGGCCTTCAAAGTATATAATGGAAGAGATGTAAAGGCCCATAAACAAAAATATCAAATGCTGGCTAAGGTCTTTCAACCTACCCCAACCACTAGTGCTCAGGTATCCTCACCTCCTAAAAAGCAGCCAGGAGGACCTCCTGGTCCCTGCTTCAAATGTGGTCAAACGGATGATTGGGCTAGAGCCTGCCCAAATCCCCGGAAGCCCCCCAGTCCATGCCCTAAGTGCCATCAGGAGGGACACTGGGCTGTTGACTGTCCTCATACACCGAGAGGTGCCAGGCCATCCAGCTCTAACACACCACACATAGACCTTCTGGGTCTGGCAACTGATGATTGAGAGGGCCCGGGACTCCTACACACGACCACAACCATCACTGTACAGGAGCCCAGGGTAACCATTGTGGTAGCGGGTAGGCCCATCTCTTTCCTTTTGGACACCAGGGCCACCTACTCAGTCCTGAAGGAGTTTTGGGGACCTACCTCCCTCTCACAGTTCTCTATAGTTGGGTAGAGGGCACAGCTTATCAACCTTTACAAACTCCCATGCTTCACTGCATCTTTAGAGGCATTACTCTCTCTCATTCCTTTATAGTGATTCCACATTGTCCCATTCCCCCTATGGGAAGAGACCTTCTATCCAAGCTAGGGGCTCTTACCTCCTTTATCTTTGGCCCACGCCTCAACTCCGACTCGCCTTCGATCCCTTTTCCACTTGCTCTCCAAACCATTCCAGACCCACGTCCCTCCCCTTTTCCCTTGCCCCCTTGCTAAATAAACCCCACAGTCTGGGATACCTCTACCCACCTCTATCACCTCTATCGCCACTTGCCCATCCGTAACTATCAAACTCAAAGACCCTACCTCCTTCCCTTCACAATCTCAATAACTTTTCTACGAAAGGGCCTTTTGAGACCAGCCAATTCCCCTTACAACAACCCTGATACTGGCTATCAAAAAACCTAATGGCTCTTATAGGCTACTTCAAGATTTAAGAATTATCAGTACAGCTGTTATTCCAATCCATCCAGTAGTCCCTAACCCCTATACTTTCTTATCCACTATCCCTACCTCTTCTACTCACTTCTCTGTCATTGACCTCAAAAATTCATTCTTCATGATTCTCCTTCATCCCAATGGGACCACTTACACCTTCAACTCCACAGACTACAAATCCTCCAGTAATCTACTCTATAACCCAAAACAGGACCTCCTTAAGCTGCATAAGGCAGCATATGTGCCCTACTCCAAGAAGAATGCTGCTTCTACACCAACAAATCCGGTCTTGTCCGGGATGGTGCAAAACACCTGTGTGAACAAGCCTCCAAACTCCTAGAAAACTCGCCTAACAATCCGTTCCCTTACCCCTTCAATCGGCTCCTGCCCCTCCTCGCCCCTATTACCTTTATTATTATTATTCTCCTTTTCCTTCCCTGCTTCATTAACCTATTCCAAAAATTCGTTCAAAATCACATTTTGAAAAATTCTAACCACACTGTCAACCAGTTACTCCTCCAGGGCTATCAAGGCCTTCTCACGAAGAATAACAAAACCAGCTAGATGACATCACGAACCATCTCAGGATGCCCACCCTTCCCCAACTCTACACCAAAGGCCTCGCTAACCCCAGAATCTGTGCCCCCTTCCAGCAGGATGTAGCTAGAGAATGAGATTCTATGCCCAGTTCCCTAGAGGCCCAACTAAGAAAAGTAAAAGATGGGAATGAAGGCAAATTCTGGCGTGCTAAGACTCCCACTCCTTAAGATCCAATCACCAACACAGAACACACCTACCCCTACTCCTTAAAAACGACCTTCCTCATCCACGAGCTGCTGCTCCCTCCCTCTGGGTACAGCCATTTTGTCTTTCAGATAATAAAAACTCTTGAGTGGGTCCGTGACTCCTGAGTCTTCTGGGGTAAGGAGGGTCGCGGTAAGATACCCTTTCACATCTGACCTGAACCTACCCACAATTCTGCTTTTTCTCTGATTTGCCATTCTCCTTACTGATTTCTGTTTTAATATTGCATTTTATTTTATTTCAGTGTATCACTCTTTTTGCATTTGCTCCTACCATCTCAGCACTGTTTATTCAAAGGATTTCCACTATAATTTAGAAATGGATATGGGACAGAGGAATGGAAAGAAGCAAGAAGAATAGAGCACAGGGCAGCAACCAGTCAAGGAGGAAGTGATTGGAGAGCATGAGCTGGTGATGGACAAGGAAGCGAAGTCTTTAAATTGCTTTTCCTGTCTAGCTCAAGAGAATGTTTTAT